TTCCTTGTGGTATAGCGGATCAATCTGAAAGGACAAAATTAATGATCGTTGCACCGTAAATCACGAAGGGCATACCTCGTGACTCTCCGGGAAAGAACACATACAGTGATCGTACGACGACTGTTTAACAAGTGAACTGCCATTGCTCGAGTCGCGCTTGTGCGTCAGGAACGGAAGTTTCGACTTGCCTGAAACAGAATAAGGTTAAGGATCGACCGGTCCCAAACCACCGTCCAAACTAGGGCACGTACTTTCGGAAGAAGAATGTTTCTTGTCAGGTTGAGAGATGTTCAGAGAAACATTCGACGCCAAAACGATTATTTTAAGGGCTTCAACTTCCGCCTGAAGTACTTCAACCTAAACCGAATCAACCAGTTAAACAAAGACAGGTAGAAGATAGGGAAAATTTTCCATGTATGACAAAGATATATCATGGGCAATTCTCACGCCCGAGCATATTAAATAACAAATGACTTTTCCACGACCCAACTTTCACATCGTATTGCACCGCCTCCTCGCTGCGAGATGCCTGCTAGGGAAGGAGGGCATTTATATAGTCCACAACTCGATGGCATTTCAGCACATGGTATGCCAGAGGCATCTCGCATTATTTTATCCAATAAAGTCACCTCACACTCAGGAACAATGTTGCAGGAGCTATTACTCCTCAAATGCTACTACACAGATATCATGATATCATACTGTTCTGCAGGTGTTTAAATATTATAGAGCCACGGTTTGCTTAAACGGTCCCCGTAACTAGGAACAAGGGATATATCGAGGTTGTATAAACAGCAGTAAAAATGTCAATGCATAAATACGATACACTGAAAACCTTATTCAACTCGATCCCCCCATCAACGCTATATTTCGTTAGAAACAATTCAAAAAATATATATAATGCTGAGTAGAATTTCGCATTTAGCGTGTCATGACTTCTGCGATCTACTGTTATTTCGCTAATACATGATTGATTTACACAGTAGTACCACGCGGCAATAGAGAACAGTAGCAAGAGACCTAGGCTTAATCTTACATACATTGACGTCGATACTTAGCATGGCTCCAGCTGTAATCTGGATAAATTACTCTCCAGCACAAGAAATATCTGTGTAAAGCATTCAGGCTGAATTTTCATTGTTTTGTAAAAAGTTTCCAAACACATGTAACTAGAAATTTCCAGAAATTAGAAACGGACCAAAATAATAAGCAGATAAACAGTTTATTAGTTCTTGACTGCCATTTAATGATCTTCAAGGCAATATTTTTTACGTATTTGCTACCACAGAAAAAAACCGTATGAATAATTTTGAAAATACATCTACCGGAATTAGACTGTATCACATTTTTGAAATAATGATTCGTTGTTTTGTTGAATTTCAAAAATATAGTTTTTAATAGATGGTTTGATTAGCTTCGTTAATTTCGATTGAACTTCGTTAGAAATTTTGCGGTTTCATGTATTACTGTACTTATTTTATCATGGTATGTGACTGGGGTTGCTAAGTCGGTAGAGCGTCGAACTCAGAAGCGAAAACTCCTCGGATGTAGCACAGGCCAAGTAGCCTGTCCATTCATTCAGAGGTTGATAAATGAGTACGACTCTGAGAATGAAACAGGAAACCTCAATCTGTTTGCCTCATAGACGCTGTTGGCTCTACGTTTAAAATATGGTACTCCTAGCCAGTGAAATAGAAACAGAAATGAAATGAACATCAGCGCCTCAACCATTAACTTCATGAAAAGAATGAAGCCAAGAATGGCTGGAAATACCGATATTCGAATCATTGCAAGTTGACCTCTTTCCTTAAATCATCATCATACCAATTTAGCACCCACCAGATTATACTACGCGATCGATCATGGAGAAAACTGGGGAGGCAAAGCAAAACTAGCAATAACTGGCAACGTCAAAAAATGGATGGTAACATTCACACGATCAATATCAGGACCATAATGAGCCGACAACAAGAAACAACAGTGTATACAATCAAAGCAATGTCAGATACATTAGGCAGTGCAAGTGCTGAAATAATGCGTCCCGTTTCTGTGATCCATATGTAACTTGAAACTGTGTAAGTGGCATAATACGGTTTATGACGAAGCAAAAGCTTAGCACGCATTGGCGTGATCCCATATTTCTGAAATGCAAGTAAATATTCAGACCGGAATAGACTGAAACCGATTTGCGGTACAGTTCAAACCAGTAACACAGTGGTTCTACTACGCCTACTCCCATACGCCAGTCTTAGAATTGTTGTCTGCACATCTTTAAGTTTACAACATTAATACTCTGGACTGAAAAGCAAATTTTTTTCAGTCTATACCGGTATGAACGGATTGCCACTCCGAGAGGTAACATATAATCATCCGCTTTACTTTTATTATTTTCTGGATCTCGGTGAATTAACATAACGGTCGCTGGCCTGTTGGCTCATGACCTGTCTGTACCATCGCATTTTGGGAATAATCTGTGAAACGGCCGGTGGATACCGTTATGAATATTCAAAGTAATAACAGTTTTCAGACTGAATTTTCAGTTGTGGTGTTCTTCAGCTATTCAAAATCTGATCTATCGGTGCTTGGCACAATTTAATCAACGTTCGTTGATGCCATCGCCATCGCCAGTGTACCTCAGGGTCCCGGGTATCACCGATATTATAAACGGTCGAACTCCTGTATCGTCAAACCGTAAAAGAACCTTGTGGCTGTCATCGTGACGAATGCATTCGAGCATTCAAACTGCGGCAAAAAATTAACATTTATTCTGTAAATGCTAGTCAATTTCAAGTGAGTGAAATTTTCATCATTACTATCAAGAATTTCATCCGATAATATGCATCGTTAACAAACTGTTTTCATTAAATTTGTCACATCATCTACAACTGCAGTACAGGTGACCTGTCTTGATTAAGAAGTCGTTGCATATTTTTTAATAAATGTAAATTACCTTCCCATTGGCTTCCTGCAGAAGCTTTTCGGTTAAAGCACGCCTGTCGTTCGCTTCTGCAGCGATGCGGTACGCCTCCTTAAAAAGGAACAGATAGCGTGATTATGTAATAAAAAATCTCTTCATACAGAAAAATCAAAATCTGAATTATCACTACGTGTTGTGTGTACCGTCGTACGATTAAGCACGAATTCAAACCCGTGGAAAAAGAAAGTTATGCAAATACAAATGTCGCGTAGCTTGCATTTCTTATATTCAAATTTGGACGTTCACTGATTAAAAGTGTTACAATGTCATAAATGCAAGGTCTAAACTTCAAGGCTGAACGAGGGCGCGATGTAAAAGTTAGAATCAGTTAAGTGAAGTCAAGAAGTGCATCAATCAATTAAACCTATGACGTTATTCTAAATGGCACATAATGGCAGATTAAACGGGGCATTGCACTGTCCCTTACTCCAAATTCCCCGAGGGAGCCTTTAAATAGTAGAATGTGTGAAAATATATACATAACCTCTGGACTTATCAGGGCCGTTCGTACGCAAATGTGAACAGAAAAAGCGAACTAGAAGTCGACTGTAGTCGACTAACGTAAATGAGCAGGAAACAACTATCCGGGCCAGGGATGTGACAGAGTAGCTGATTTCCGAAAAGTAAATGCAACAAGATACGGTGCGTTAACGAATACGACTAAAGTGTGTGTAACGGAGTCAGCACAACAAGCGTTACACGATTAATCAAAGATGTCTACGAAAAATTCGCAACTGATTCTGGATGAATCTGAAAACAAAGGAATGAGCCTTAAAACGACCAGGACTCAACGAACACTCTTCAAGAATACACATGACTAAATCAATCATATTTTCTCCATGATGTGGAAATTCTACAGAAAACTAACCTACAGCTATAATTCCAACACAAAGTGTAAAGGGAGAGCCAAAGAAGGCAGCAACTTATTATCCGGAATTTGAAGAAATACACAGAGCAGCAATTTCCAAAACTATAAATACCTGGAGACCGAAAGGACCAATCACCATAAAACAGATTCTCTACATGTGTTTCTCATTCACTCCGTTACATTTTTTCGCCATTTATCCACCTATATTCTGCGACAAATTCTCCCATCCTAAACCACATGCCAAGACTACCATACTTGTAAGCAACAACTTTTTTCTGAGACCTTCCTGAAATGGTTTGTGACGTTTCAGGACACTCTGTTTAGGCGCAAACGGCGGGTTACTGTAATCCCTTGCTGCTGCTCGCGCGTCTTCTAACCTCCATAAAAGACGGAGTCACCTACTATGTTTCGATTTAGACCATAACATAATATATCAATTGGAAGCTCTTTGAGTGAAGTATAATGCCTTTTAAAATATAAGTGCCTTCAAGCAGAGATTTGTGAAAAATCCAAAGGAGTGCGCAGCGAAACGCATAGGAAATAAACCTTTCATCATCCATTGCGTTTGGTGCCCTGAACCATGAATCATTCGACCACTTGTCTATGTTAAAGGAAAATACCGCTATCACACTAGTCAATTTCTGATTACAACTGAATTATTGTCGCCGTGCGAGCTATATATAACTTCATTCTTGCCACAGATCTGTGGAAAGCTCTCTGTGAGTACAATGTCATGTCATTCCATTTTTTTACAACGATGAATAAGTGAATAAGACGGGCGGCAGATAGACGTTTAGATGAGAGTTGCAAAATCTTTGGCTTTTGCATACATCTACCTCAATCTCAAATTTGCTTCGGTTCATCACACTGCATGTCGAGGAATAACTCTCTATGAGCTTGCATTATCGTCAGACGAAAATGCCAAGTTTGAAATTGATATTAACAATAATGAAACTGGACTGAAACGGCGAAAACTTACAATGTAAAGGAGAAAAATGTACTTCTTACTTTACACCGATAACGCGGCAAAGTAACAGACATGGAAGTCTTACCGTAGTATTGCACCGCCCCTTTGCTTTTGGCCGACGTGGGAGTCATTTGAAATAGATACTTACGCGGAGAGTTTCATATCGTGTTCACAGAGAACTTCCGATCGATCTCTAATGTGATGGAAAAAATCAAGAAATTGATATAACTGACTATCTGCTAATTACATAAACTCTTAATCGTGATTACATGACTGAGTGATGTCAACTAATTAATGACTCTGCGTTGACTTATTGACATCATAGAGTCATCACAATCGAACTGTAACGAAAACTTCAAGTACTGTACTTCACCCACAGGCATTGTGCCATTAATACATAACACGATGATGGACTAAATCAAGTAGTCCATAGAAATGAGCATCGGCCAGTTATATAGATTCATTGCAGCGATCACAAGTCCAAACATTTACAGCAACCGCTGCTTTGCGCCATAACACAGCATGCCATAAGTTATCCTTCCGTTTCCATGCCCTTGGAAATATCCCTACGAAGTTGATATGGCATATTATCTTGAGTTTGGTAAACACCGACCTAGGGTGACAAATAAGTAAAAGCAAAATAAATGCTACGCAGATATCTGACCGAAAGTAATTGCAGCATCGTATCACAGTAGAACAACCAATACATTTAGCCGCAAACATGTAACGACAATTAACTGCGATTTGTAGAGAGAGCAGTCCTTCCCGATGACCATTCGTTTCCATTTCGTAACTCACGTATGGCGCCGTGTAAACTGCTGTTTTTTTTGGCGTAGTTTAAAGAATCTTCAATCGCGGGGCAAACTGGGTGATTATTTTTGTCTCGAATCCTTCGGTTTGAACTCGTCGAATTCTCAAGAGTCGTTCTCTGTGGTAAATTTACTTTGAAGGCATATCGATGTGTGTCAGCATTGATCACCACACATTCATTAGCCGGCGATTCAAAATTTCATTACGGGTTTTAAATCATAAAATACACGTGTCGTTACTGAGCACTTACTGGCTGGCTCAGATTCTGAGGTTGGATTTGTGAGGAACCGAAAAGATGTTTCATTTTTACAACAGAAAACAATCCGCCAAACGTTGACTTACCTGAAAGAGACTCGCCGTCAACTCCTGTATTTCACTGTCGACGTTTTCTTGCATTTCTTGAAGCTTGCCGCATTTTTCCGCTTTCAACGCCAATTCCTAGAATATCGACAAGCAGGGTACGAGTTAGTCTGTGAACTGAGCATAGCAAGGAATAACAAGCAGAAGCAAGGAACAAGAAGCCATCTGCTAATCTATGGCATTTAATTTAACCTTAGTTATTATTCGTTAAGCTAAGATTAAAGCTGGCATTTAAACAATGTTTTTCTGTCGAGGACGCGGACAAAGTCAACGTTCAAATAATCTCTACGTTACTTGTACCATCCATTAATCAGCGACGAATCGCGCTGGCTACGACAGCCAGCCGTTCCCCACGGCTTCGAGTTTCACTTTAACCTTCAAGCGCGACTTTCCGGTTCCTAATATAGTCTTCACATCATCATGGTGGACAACGAACCTGCACAGTCCGCCCTCAAGGGTACCAGTCGACGATCATCGCTGACCATCTCCCGTCGAAGAGCCGAGATTATTGCCTGGCAAACCGTAGGCTTGTCCGTTCAACTTTCGACCATCAAGTCCTGCACTCCCATCCTTGTCTGATCACCGCGGATGTAGTCATGACGTGAAATTCCAGAATTCGTCATTCCACGGCTCTCTCGATGACACATCTAGTGCTCTAGAGCTTAAGTGAGAGACCACGTCTCACGACCATACATCATTCTCTACAGGACGGTAGAATTGAAGACCGCGGCGCAGATTTCTTTCCTGAAGTTGGCTAGGAGGAAATCCTTGACGGGATGAAAAGCGCGCCACCCACTGCCCTCCTCCGTAGAATCTCTCCGTCTGCACATGCTGCATTTTGATCTCGTGACCCAGGTAAGTCTGTTTATGGACGTTTTCAGTTTTTACACCGTTTAATATCATCTGAGCCTTACGCATCTAAGCATCTTTGCCATTGCTTGACTGACTCGCAGAAGACACCGTCACCTTTTCTGTTGAGCTGTTGCAGCATATAATGTGGATGACTGGGGTTTTCCACAGAGAATGCCACATCAATAAACCTTAGGTGGCTGAGCTGTTCACCACTGATATTAGCCCTATCTTTCTAGTTAATTCTCCGGAACACCATTTCCAAATAGGCAATAAAGAGTCTGGTGGAAGACGGTACCCCTTTGTTCCACGTCCTTTTCTATGGAGGAGTCGAACGGCATGATTTGGTGAAGCAGTAAGAGTTCATTTACTTTGAAGGGTTGATGTAACCGGTGCTGATGCCCTTTTCTTTCAGTGCAATCTACTTTACGTTGCACTCGACAATGTTGAATGCTCGCTTACTCGACGGGTGTGACTCTAAAATTTGACTCCGGTGTTAACTTTGATTTCGATATTAATATCGTACACGTACAGACAGTCTTCGCAGTTAACAACCGATTTTTCACAGGGACGATGACCGGGATCGTTCAGTCGCTAGAACGTCTGACTCAGAATCAAGTGATCCGTAGCTGGACTGCCGATGGGATCACTAATCTTTCTCGCTTCTGTGGTTGATAAACGAGTACCACTCCGTAAGAAGGAAAAACTCTACTATACTTAACGCTTGCCGCATCGCTGCTGTAGACACTGTTTGCAAAATAAGGCACTCGTAACGACAGTATGGAAATGAAGATCAGCACCGCACAATGTCATGAAACAAAGGTAAATGGCGATATTCTGAAAGTATCACAGAGACGAGCCTTGTAACGGTTGTCTTATGACAACTGCTATTAAACATTATTCGCTATCAACCATAGAACATAGTATAGCCAGGTGCTGAGCTCTTTTTCGTGTCATTCAATCATTCAAATTCGTGCCTAGAGCATAGCGAACTCCAGAATCAGTCACTCAACGAGCAGCAGTACTACAAGTGGTAGGCCAATTTGTAGTACCAGCAACTCTGCAAACGCGTTAGGCATAATTTATTTGGGTACCTGGTCCTTGACCTTGACACCCTAGATGACAATGACAGCGGAAACAGCAACTCAGCCAAGAGACATATCACTAGTGATACAAACTTATAGCGGTCCCACTACTAAAACTATTGGAACCAATAGGAGTACCAGTGTTATTAGCAACAATAGTAATGGTACTAGTTGTTACTAATATCAGAATGACTGTAAGTTAATACTAACAGCGTTAATGGTACCAATTTTATCACAAGTACGAGAATGTAATTAGTCATACTGGCAACACTGATAGAACTACTAATAACGGTGGTACGAGTAATGGCACAATGAGTAATGTTATTATTACTAATAGTAGCATTTGTACGAGTAATGTTATTAGTAGTACTACAATATTCATATTACTACTAATAATACCAGTACTAGTAATGTAGTTAGTACTAATGACATCACTCGAAATGCCATCATTTGTACCAGTAAAGTTACTGGTAGCACCATGAACCATGTCACTACTAGTAATAACATTACTGGCGCAAGTACTGCTACTCAAGTAATGACAACATCGCTAGTACTATTAACATTTTTTGTATTAGTAATAACATTAGTGTCACAAGTTCTACTACCAAAAATAATATTACTAGTACTAACATTAGTAATACTACCAAAAGTGCTAGTACTAGTAATGTTGCTAGCACTAACGACATTATTCGTAGTAGTAGCACTTGTAGCAGTAATGTTATAACTGGTACTAACATTATTAATAGTATTAGTAATATTGTTAGCATTGTAGTAGCAGTACTTGTACCAGGAAAATTATTAACAGTAGTGACAGCGTTCATAGTACTACGAGAAATGTTAGTACCCTTAGTAAGATTGCAATGTACCCATGAAACTGCTCATTGTAGTAGCTGTTATTGTACCAGTAATGATATAATTAATACTAACAGCACTAATAGTACTACCATTAACACTAGTGGTATAACTATTACGAGTAATGATAATAGCACTAGTAATGATGCTAGCACTAATGACATTACTCGTAGTGGTAGCGCTTATATTAGTACTGTTGTTAGCAATATTCTGAATACTGCACACCTAACAAGTGCCTTTCTAACACTTTCAGTTTACTAGCCGGTTCCGAAACGCGGTGTTAAGGGATTTAATTACACCAACGCAGAACAGCATATTAAGCGACAGACGGCTACTGGCGTAATGCCACACTAATCTAAACCAACCAGCTGCTGAAGCTGGACAAACCCAAGAGAGGATCACCAGCGTTACGTCGAAGAAGTCCGTGAGGCATGGGCCAAAGCGTCCGTAGTAAGTTTTCACAGATCGACTGTGGTGTGCATTCAAACTGCCAACGTTCGAATAAAATACCGCATCCGTTCAATTAATTATTTAGTTTTGTTTTTGGGCGTTCGTCTTCTGTCGATTGACTGAGCCATACTTTCATTTATCTTTGTTCTCTTGCTTAAAATGGAACAGTTCTGGAATTTTCAAGCAAAAAACTTAAACGAAAAAGTAAATAACGAAAAGTGCAACTGTTAAAACTAAAAACAGTTTATTTATACACAGTGCAAACAATATTGTCAATCGGATGACCGACCAGTATCGACGTCTCGGCCCATGTCTAATGAAGGTTTATCAACGTAGAGAGGTGGGTTGAGTTAAGATGTTTTTTCGTTTTTCATTCGTACATATTTTAACGTTTGAGGCCAGAAGTACATACGCCAGTACTGATCAATCATCTGATTTATGAAAAACAGATTATTTATTTTACACTTTTTGCGTTGTGTAAAATGAACCGTATTTCATGCTGTTAGCGGTATGACCGCAAACGCATGAACCAAATACTCAACCCACCAATAAACATGAACTGTCACCAAAAAAACACAGATCTGTGAAATTTGCAAGATAAATCAATGCACCATATTTAGTAAAAAATATACCATTTCCGCAGAGGCGAGGCGATGCTTGAGGTTGCAAATCAACTCCTCATTTTCCTGGTGTGAACAAGTCGACACAAACGTGTCATCGACACGCGAGCTGCTGCATCTGAAACTAGGGAATTAGTAGCGACGAGGACAGCTGGTCATTATGCAAAAACAAAATCCTACCCGGAGCAGTCTTCATTTGCCGTCGTCACCGACACATCTAGAAAACCAGCATCGCCGTTGTCGCGATCGACTTCGACGTCCACCTTGTCCTTCGGATCACCGGACGCGGTCACCTGCAGCTCATTCGACACCCCCGCATCCTCAACGACTACCGGCATCCCATACAGATTGAAATCACAACTAAAAACACCCGCAATGCATTACAAACCCAATTAAGTATTTAAGGCAATGTCTACAGAACACCGTGCGGTTTCGTTTAATAATCAGGATCTATCGACGGTTGCTCTAAAATCGCACAACAGATTTTCTTATTGAAACTCATTTGACTGATCAGCTGTCACGGCCAAAGTCACTGTTTAAATGCAATGCCAATTTTATTATTGGCAAATTATCATGCTTCGTCTTATTAAAAGCTACTAGTTGCTTTTATGGCTCACAACTCGTTTGCACTTCCGTAGCACTGGCGCAGTGGAAAAAGGTGGACCTCTGAAACTCTGCGTTCGAATCTGAAGAATTGGTGTAAAGTGCTAATGCCCTTCATCAAGAAATTCACCTCAATTAAATTCTTCACAAGTGCCTGTCATGTCATTTACTTTCGAATAAAAGGGACGAATATTGTTTTCGTTATTTCGAAGTATTTTTGCCTCGACTCTAACTCGACTCGTTAATAACCATGCTTTCGAAGCGCTATGCGAACATTAAGATGCATTCGTCTCTGTGGTGAGTTCTTTAATCAGCTACTTGTCAGACCTTCAACAGTTCGTCAAACTGGCTGGCAGATGTTCTGGCGAGCTGCCAAACAATCTAAATGCCCCACAAGGCTGTATATTTCTAAAATTCGGGATAATACCTTTTGCTGTTTAAGGCAATCACCAGTTTGGTTGAGTAAAATTGCAAACGTCTAAAGCACTCTCAGACCTCATCATGGCATGATCACACCGAAGCACCAAGTTGCCCTATCATTCGCACTTTAACACCCTGCTGCCCTACCCAGGGGAAGTAGCAGTTTAATAAGAGAAAGTTAACGCAGCACTTTGCGCTCGGACTCGCAAAGCAACCTGCTATGGAACTGCATTATTGCCAACCATCCTCAATTTATTGAGTTTTATTTTTGATCTATGCGAGTTGCTGCAAACAAAATCAACTAGTTATGCCAGAAGTCAGAAGTTCGCAAAAGTGCATTAATTTCAGTAATAAACACCGGGAAAATCATGGCACATTATACCAACGAAGTGAATCGAGATACCGGTTGAATTGGTGGATAGAGTCTTTGAGTAAATTTCGGAAGATACATCAAGTGCTATTTCTTCCATCAAAGATAGCATTGGACAGCGTAAAGGCAGTTGACGTTGTTCCTATGCGTTGTCAGTCAAAGCCCGCTGTTCAGAAGTCAACCGTATCTTTATGTCGGGATTTTGTAGCGACAGCAGTGCTAAAAAAGTCGCACTACGTCATAAAACTATGAAACCAAGCTGCGGTTCAGAGATATTTGTTTCTATTTTGGTGTACGTTGTGCAAAAAGTTTCTTTGGGATACTGCCTCACAGCGACTTTTCGTGATCCATAGCATTCTACATTTTTTGGCTAGATCGCAAAACACAATACATCAGAGGTGTAGATGACATCATAACAACAGCAGATCAGTTGCGAGAAATGTGCAAGCCAGCTCATTGCAGACTATCTACGAAACGCTGGCACACTGTCACATTTTTCAACCGTGTACGTGCTCTCAAACGAACGTAATGGCGTGTAAATCAAACCTTTTTAGACGTTCCGAAATACCACCACTGATTCCCGCATTACCGGACTTTTAGTTTGAACCATCTTAAAATGTGCATGCATCCACAGAAAGTAAATTCAAATAAAGCTGATAAGTCCATTGATTCATTATCGTACTCGTTCCTGTATGTTTTTCTTCATGTCATTTATTTTGCTCATATATATGTTATCAGACGATTAAACTCTGAAAATGGTCTGCTGCTAGACTAGTAGCATAATTGATTGATGGAACATACTAGCAAAATAGAATTTATATGCATTGAATGTTCGCCCTATTCAAACTCATGTGTATCGATCGGTCATTCTAACATCCTATCGTCAGCCTATCATTTTATTATCTGAAACATTGTGAATTTCATAAACGTGCATACTCAATTACGTCAGCACTGCAAAATAGGCATGAAACTTTTCAATGAGCGATGGTTGACGGTATAAGGGATGTATTGCAGGATAACAACTTTTTCGTTACCGACGAGATTGGTCTAAAGCTTTCTAAATGCATGGCGATAGTGCCATGTCATGGCAAGTAAGTACAGTTTTTCGACAAGAATGATGTTTAATCCCAGAGTGAGATATCGATGGTACTATGCGCAAACGATTTGCTACTTTCACGAAATAGTCATGGAGGCCAGATGATGGTTGCAAGCTGCGACTGGTTTAAAGCATGTGAAGCGTTTAGGTAAAGCGTAGACAAATTAAAGGAACAGTCGAATGCTGTTAACTTTACACAAAAGAACGATGGAGATGTAACTTATCAAGCGGCATGCTATGCCCAATTGATTGTAGATGCAGTGTACTCTGACGTATTGCGATGAAAAAGTTGTGCATACCAAAATACTCTCATGTTTAAGATGAAAACTGAACCAAGCTATCGCGATGATTGGTTGGTCAGAACGAAACTTACATTTGTAACATTTACAAAAAATGCGTTGAAATACCATTCTTTCTGGGTGTTCTCCTAAGTCGTTTCTGCTAAATTATTAAATTAAATTATGTTGTGCTCCTTAAACTTTTTAACATTAAGAATTTTTGATTATTTCGGAATCAATATCTTTGTGTTAGTTATACTGTTTGTCACATTCAAGCATTTAAATAAGCTGAAATATTGATTCAAAGGTTCTAATTATAACCGTAACATTTTGTTATATGTTCAACGCAGTACGACTTTCTTGGGCGCGTCTTCGAACTGTCTGTCGCTATCGATTGAATCATGTACTGTGCACTATTTTAGTTGAATTTGCAGAACTATACACTTCTATGCACAACAGTCAGCTGTGTCATTAGCAAAATGGCTAAACGAGTTATTTATCTGTTTTCTGAGTTTCATTTAAATGCTTAAAATCTTTAAACTGAAGATGTCTTCGTGTAGGGCGCAGTTCGCCAAAACTTGATGAAGGACTGATTTGTGATGCTACTTGCTGCGGTAGATTATTTTTGCTAAAATATTGTAGTTCTTTTCGATATTCTATGGTTTTAAGGCTCTAATATTTTGAAAGATAAAATAAGTTATTTTTCAAGTGCCGGTGATACTTTTCAGGATTTTAGGTGCTCTTCCAAGGAAGTTTCAAAAGATTTGCATGGCACCGGTTTCTGATTAAAATTTAAATATATTAATAATAAATGTGTGCAATTTGAACATATGCCTATGTTGTTGGTATTAGAACATTGTCAAACTTAGTAGAGTAGCGCGGATTTTCCCTTAGAATTGCATGTGCCAAAATACTATCTATTCGTGGCCTGCTTAAAGAGTCCCTATATTACCAGAAGCATGGAGACTGTGAGAGTTCACGGTATAAATCTGGATAAATGATGGAAGAAAATATTCGTTTATTTAAATTTTCGTTTATTTTAACAATTTAGTTCGGGCTGAGGAAGTTAGCAAATACTGCTCTGTCGAGGGCAAGATCCGCAACGATACTACACAGTGTGAGCTATCTGTAGGTAGGATCACAAACTTTGTGTAGTTATCTTCCCATGTTGGGCTGAGGACTTCGTTTTGGGGCAATTAGTGGAGTTTGAATGTTTTCTGTCTTACCTACCTGTTTACAAGGTTACAAGAGTATGATAATGAGTTTGTAACGAGAGACGCGCGTTCTAGCATATATCAGCTGAAATTCAGCACCTCGCAGAGGAATCCATGACAGATTCTTCCGGCTTGTTAATGTTGGTTTGCCCCTGCAATTCGCTTTGATTTACCTGATTTTTACTGAAAATCACTTAAAGGTGTATAAATGTAAAAAAGATGTTATCTCCCGATCTCGGTTTCTATCAGTAGGTAAAATGGTTGACTTCCAAGGTTATATTATGTAAAGCGATAGTACAACATGCAAAATAGAAGGTTTGTTCTTCTATGCATATTAGATCTTCACATGTTTGTTAAAAAGTAAACTACAATGCCTTCTTGTGCTCACTTTTTCCCCATCCGTAAGGCGATTGTCAGAGCTTATGTCCATAATAAGTAGTCTGCGTATGACAGGCTAACTAACCACGTTGTTGACATGATGATGTTTGATAGCATACGCATAGTCACTAACGTCCTTTGTAACGATGCACTTTATTCCCTCTGTTTAATCTGTACTGTTTATAATGTAATCGGTATCTTGCAATAATAATTATCATTGGCTTTTTAATGATCACATTGGATTTTGTATTAATGGTTCATTTGCTATTT